TCTGGTTTCTGAATTTAAAAAATAAATGAATTACTTAAGAATTTTATTTGGTCTGTATTTTATAATGCCAGAGACACACTTCCAAGACTGCTAATTGTCCTTTAATGGCAATATTAGGCCAATATTAAACACTCCTGCATTATTCCTGATTCTCCTAGATAATATTCTATATTTTGAATTGACCCCATCTCTGAACTGAGGCCCGATATCTATTTTATTTAGCCCACACTCCTGGTTTAATTAGTGCTTCCCACCTGTTAGGATTAGTACTAATGCTTGTTTTTGTACTTTGTTAATGTTTTATAACAATGGCTTATTGCATTATTGTGAAGCACTTTGGTCTGCCTTTGGTTTTAAATGTGCTACATAAATAAAATTGTATTGTATTGATATTTTAAAAATGTATCTGTGTGTTGTTTCCAATGTAAGGCAGTCATAACTGTAATTTTCTTGTATTGCAGTATTATAAAAAAAAAAAAATCCAAAACAGGATTTTATTGTATTTATTGTACATTAAAAAACTGTTTAAAGTTATTACCAAACTTGGGCAAATGGAAATCATCATTATTACAGGAAAACAAACTGAATTAAAAGCTAAGAAGTAACACAATAATTTAACAGGTTATTCTGTAGCTGCAGATTTCTCTCTTCATAAGAACTATAGCAAACTACAGTATTACACTTGGCTTCAGCTAAACTGTGCAGCACGGTGCCCTCCTCCTTACTGCCTCCCTGACTCCTTTACGTAACCACCCCTCCCTCCCTTCTCACCGCGGGCTGCCCTGGAGGCGATTCACATACGCAGCGATCAGAGCATGCTCCTCGTTCATTCGCTGAGCCGCTGCCAAGCTGGACGGACACAAAACAGACGCAGAGTAATCAGCCAGCATCAGATAACAGTCTGTCTTACAGGAATTACATCAGTTTAACTTCAAGTCAACACAAAATCTCTCTTAATAAATGTGCATATGAGTAAAAAGAAAGAATATTTTCATAACACCTGAAAAATGCATGTAGATTTTTATATGCAATGAATATCTTTTATTATTTCAATTATTCACTAACATGCAATGTTTCTTATTAGTTCATTCTTGGTCCATAAAATGCTAAAAGAAGTTCAGAAGAAACCAACGCACCAGAGTTTAAAGTGAGCCTTTTTTGCTTGTTCTGTCATATTAATCCAGTGCTGGATGCTCTTATTAAACATGACTAATAATCATGAGGTCAGTGTATGTACAAGCCAGACATTCAGCCACCAGACAGCTTGAAAAGCTTCGTTTCACACAGTTTTTTTAACTACTGCAGCAGCTGGATAGCGTAGTCGTAAGACCCCCCATGCTAAAAACCAGCCCTGGAGTTGCGCGGCTATGTCTGCAGCCTGTTCAGGACACAAGCATTTCACTGCATGTTCACAATGTTGCACTGTGTATGTGACAAATAAAGTTTGCATTTATTTATTTATACTGGCTATGTACGATGTCACGGAGGGGATAGCCCTAATATGGACGTCTCCTCTGCCTTTTAAAGCTGGTTGTGAGGGACAGCCAATCAGAAGAAAGTTGGATCAGTAAACATTGAGTCTTAGTCTGAAGTGTGAATCACGCCTCTAACGGCACATTTTTCCACTGATTATTACTTAAATGGTAAATGGCCTGTATTTATATAGCGCTTTACTAGTCCCTAAGGACCCCAAAGCGCTTTACATATCCAGTCATCCACCCATTCACACACACATTCACACACTGGTGATGGCAAGCTACATTGTAGCCACAGCCACCCTGGGGCGCACTGACAGAGGCTTCTGTCAGAGGCTTCTTTGATTAACCTTATTAACCTCCGTGAACTCTGTTTTTCATACCAAATATTGATTCACTGTGGAGGCTCACCTTCATGTATACAAACCCAGAGAGGGTGGAGAAGCTAGCATTCCTAAATCTGCACCAACTTTTCCCTTCAGCTGTTTTTTTAAATAGCTTTGCATCCTTTAAGTTACCACTGTCCACTGTGTGATTGGTTTACGGTGTTCTCTCTCCCTTGTGTTTTGATCGATTCTTCCTTATTTGTGATAAGTTTTGTAAGCAATTATTTCTGTACTATTAAAATGTCTTTTGACTGGAGCAGTTTCGTGTAAAGAACGGAAATAAGGAGCTGCAAACGAGCATTAAAAACTATTAAATCATCTTTCCATCCATCTTTTTCCACTTATCCAATTCAGGGTTGTTGCGAGGCCGAGAGCCTATTCTTACTCTTACAGGACGAGAGAATTAAATACACAATTTTTTCATTACTTGCAAAATAATAACGGTCTAAAATCTTACAAGCTATGTAGTGGAGTACGTGTTTTGCCTTTTAGACATACACCTGTATGGTGGTGTCAGAGATGGCTACTGTCGGCTTGCAGGAAACTTCACAAGAAATGTAATAAATGTAAAAGTAATGGAAAACTAAACTTTTCTTTTAACTTGCACTTAATTCAACAGCTCTTTCACAGTGTCAGATCAAAGACACTGCAGACTCCTTCACCTCTCCACCTGCTTCCTACTCTCACTAACCTATGACAGCATCGTTTTACTGGCGTCGAGTTGGGCTGAATCTCGTATTAGTTTTTATTCACCCACCACGAGCCCTTAAATCGCTGTGAAGAGTTCACATCTATTTTTAACTGCGTGCAAGTGAAGCGCTCATGCTATCGAGCCCTGTGTCACCAGTATAGACCCTCTGCTGTGTATCCACGCAGCTAAAAACAGCCTCTTTATTTCTGTTAACTCATGATTCCTTTAATGTGAAATTACTACCGTAATAGAACAACCTAGTAAGCTTTCACTTCACCCAGTTTGCCTCACACTTCAGCTGTGATTTATTGAAAACAGCAGCTGGCCAACCAACTTGCCTGACACAGTGGTTAAGGTCTTTATTTGCCTTGAATATTAGAGAAATATTAGTTTAAACAGAAAAAAGAAACGAAGCCACAAGATTGCACACTTCTAATCAGCTCTAATGTCAGTCTTTACCTTTTCGAGGACTCGCGAGCTGATGAAGACAGCAGCATGGCTTCACTGGTGTTCCCAACGGGTCTCGATGGTCTGAACAGACAAACACAAACATGCGTTAGAGGCTTATTATCAACAGAGTTCACACGGAGGAAGGATAGCGACGTTAAATCATTAAACTGCCGAAGCCTGCCTATCAGAAAGCACGCATTCTTACGCTCCCATTCACACAGTCACACACTCTCACATGCTTTTGAGTGCATTCATGCAACAGTGAACTGTAAAAGGTCTGAGCAAACACAGACAGGCCAAAGATCAAACAAGGGAGAGAGAAAAGAAAGTAAGAGAGGGAAGTGGAGTGAGGGCACATCCAGAGGAAAAATTTAAAAAGACTATAAATAATCACATTTTTAAGTCTGAAATTGAAACTGCATTTAAAAAAAAAAAAAAAAAAAAAAAAAAAAAAAAGCATACTCACACCCGCGCTAAATTCAGCCTGTGTGTGCTGGCCTGAGTATGAGCCTAACGCCTGCAGGTCTGCAACGACCTGGTCGGCTTCAGTGTGGAAAATTAAACAATGCCGATACGCCACAGGGGGCGGAGCAACCGAAGTGTTTGGATATACAGAGGCGGGACTTTTGCTTGATTTACGTTATCTGAGTTTTCTAGGTAATGTAAAATTTTGTAGTTCGAATAGTTAGCTTTTAAGCTGTAGATGTTTCACTTCCTATTGTGAAAGTGTTTAAATGTTTAACTGTTAAACATTAACATCACGGCTACAAGAAAGCTTAATCTTTTTTGTTCTCTTTGTCTCTCTCATCTAATGCGAGGAGGCCTCATAGTGAATATTCCTCCATAGCTTCAGTGACTTTAGAGGCACAAAGAGACAATAGTATCTGTACAGCCCAGCAGGCGTTTAACTTGGGCACAAAAAAATGAGCAAATCAAGGCTTTTTTGGAAATAAATTCAATGCAAAAAATCAAACAATCTTCTTTTTAAGCAATATGAACATTTTACACACTACAGAGGTCTATTTTACAGGGTAGATACACGTGAATTCAATAATATGCAATCCAGTAATATTAACATTAATCATACAGTCATCATTTTTTTTAGCTTTATTCACACAGATCTCCTGTAAGCCTATTATGTCAAATCTAGAATAAGTTTTAGAAATAGTTTAAAGGTCGTTAACGTTACCATCACACAGTTTAACTGGCACCAGGTTCAATACTTACAGTCCAAAATCATAACCAAACTATACAGGCACATCAATTAGATTGATTAGTAGTGAAGGGCTCTCAATATGGAAGCTCAAAAGCGCCAAAATAAACAAATGAATTGAAAATGTTAAACATACATGTATAGATTGGTTAACTGACACTTTTAATTTGATTCTAAATTTACTAGATTTTGTATTAATTTTTTTATTTCTTTATTCCCATGTTTTAAATTTTCATTTTATTTAGTAACTTTATTTTTTATAAATATTTTTCCAACAATTTCTCTATTTTCTTTTTGTTTTTACTGTTCAACAACAGCAAAAAACTAATAAAAGTAAAAGCATTAATAACAACAATACTCATGAGAAATCAAGCATCATTTCAACAGACACGTCAACCATACATACAACACTGTAAATCAATTATCCCATTTTCACCATCGTTTGAAGTCTTATGCAAAAAAAAACAAAGCTAAACAAAAAAAACCTTATCTTTAAAAGCTCAGAAAGGGTCAGGTTAACAGAAATGTTTCCACTTTTTTGTAAAAATCAAGGGATTTATTTCGGACCAGGTAACTCCAGTGGGATGTGTTCCAATATCATCCCGTGCCATCTGAGTTTTACGAGAATAGTGCATTTTTCTTTGTGCAAAAATCAGAAGATTAAACCGCTTTCTGAGATATTTGTTTTGCATGCATGTATTTGGGAGACCAATGAGAAGTGACACCAAGTAAAGATCAATTGCGGTTCCTAAGATGTTCCAAATTAAAAAAAAAACAGACTGATAAAAGGTGGTGTGTACGACTGACAGCATTTATTTTTTCTCCTGCATTTATGTAAAGCATGTAACAAGGTTAAGTTTACTTAACGTATAGCTTTTTAGTGTGTATCTAATCTAAAATAATAAGGTCAGTACTGTCATACAGGCCAGTAAATGAATCAATTCATACAAAAGCAAATAAATATAGAAGCATATTATTATTATTATTTTAAATACCTTGATATTTTTGTTGGCACGTGTAATGAAACTTATATACTTTGTCAGTTTTAGGCCTCCATACCTTGAAACCATCACTGTAGGTTAAATTAACAACCTAATGAGGTGAACTGAGTGACAGGATAATTGGCACCAAAGGGGACATAATAGAATAGAATAGAATAGAATAGAAGCTGAATCCTTTTGTGCCTCACTGATCTGACAGGAATAACCTGCATTATTAAAAAGCAGTTGTTGAAAATTTCAGTAACATTTAGCTTTTTGATATTTGGTGTAATAAATGTGTGAGTGCTGGGAGGTCATATCGTACATTATGTTGGCGAGGTTAAGGGTCCTCTCGGGTTCTTCTGGGTAAATTGGGTGTGGCGGCTCCCTAGACGACACGCATCCCAGAGTCCTGCTCAGGGCTCGACCGATCTTTGTCGCCGGTGACTTCTACACACAAAAACAAACACACAAGCATCAGTTTATGAACCCACACTGCATGAATGCAGTAGATGTGTGAAGCCCGTTTTAAAGAATCAACTTTAGCACTTATCGAAAACAGAGATACCTGCTAATTGCTGCTAACTAAACTGCAGCACAGACGTAGTGAACAGACTGCTGCCCTTTAGCTAATCACTCACTTGTATACATGTACTCCCAGTTTCCCTTTGTTCACTGCCAGATCATTTTCTATTCTTTCCATTTAAGGCTTCTAGTGATTTCCATTGTTGTTGATCCTTCTCATGTTTCTTGTTATTATCTGTTGTGTTCACTTGTTATCTTCTCATGTATTGCCTTGTGTACTGGTTTTGAGTTTCTGTAGTCTCCCAGGATTTGTGTATTTCCTGGTATGATCTCTGCCTTTCTGGGTTAAAGATCTGGATTTATGGGCATTTATTCTGACTCTCCGTGTCCTGCTTTTGGGTCCTTCTCTGTCAGCCCTTACACCACTTTGGTGTAATTTCTAGACTACCACAGTGCAGCTGTGCAACTTATTTGACAGATAATTTAATGAATCTCAAGGGCTTTACTGTGCATGTGCTTATGTGCATATTTAACCCTTCAAAGGCCATTTTTTAACCTGAAAATGCACTGACACTTAACTCCTGAGCACAAATCTTAAAACCAGGCATCTGTTTTCCCATGAACCACATTCAGGTTGCTGCTGTTGGGTGTCTTTGTTAAAAATAAAGAAAGAAAAGGACATATACTGAGAATAAAAATGAAGCACAAAGCCCAGTCCTACAGAAAATCACATGTAAATATATGTAAAGCCTGAGCTACAATGAGTATATGTTACATGATGACAGGCAGGAGCTGCACTAGTTAGAGGCTTTAGACCCAAAACTGAAACATTAACAAGAAAAATTATGCCAAAGACTTACCGATGAATAATTCAACAACTATATCTCCTTCTATTAATACATAATTTCTTCATTAAAAACATTTATTCCTTCAGGCTAGAGCAACTTTTATTTAAATTATCCGATTCACTTCAAATAAATACATCATGCCTGAGTATGAAGCTATAAATATTTGGGTATGTATACACTTGCATTTAGCTACTGACCCTTTGCCCACAATTATCAAGGTGTGTTTACAATGTGTGCTTTTATTTTTGAAACCAATTACATTTCCCAGGAGGCTATGTGACTGGTTCAGGTGGTTTTATACCAGAATGAGGGTAGAGCGAGTACGGCTAGAACAGGGGAACAGTTTTAACACCTCAAATAACTTAAAAAAAAACCCCCAATTTTTCTTTGCACATGTGTACAAGCATCATCTTTGATTTTGAGAAATTCATAGCAGGTGAAGTGTGCACCTGAATGTTTCTTTCAAATTGAATAGATCCTTGTGTTTGTATCACTGAACTTAGAGCCTGGCAACTCCATATTCAAATTCCTTTTCCCACTAACCCTCTAACTACGTCTCCAAACTGCTCAACCTGAGCTGTCCCTCCGCTGTACTCATTTTCAATCGCGGTCCCTCCAAATGAAAACCTGAACATCTTCAGCTCTGCTTCTTTATCAGTGCCACCATCTCCAAACCCTACATCGGATCAAGTCTCACTACCACCTTGTAAACCTTTCCTTTTCTTTTCGCTGCTATTATTCTGTCACAAATCAGCTCTGACACTCATGTTTTTACCCTGCCTGGACTTTTTCCTTCACCTCTCTTATGCACTGTCCATGTCTTTAGATGTTTGACCCCAGGTATTTAAACTCATCAACCTTCACTATTTCTACTAATTGCACGTTCACCTTTGCACCTGTCTCGCTCTCATTCACACATATTTCATTCCTCTTCTCTCCAAAGCATACCTCCACCTCTCCACCTGCTTCCTACTCTCACTACAGGTCGAAATGTTGTCTGCAAACATCATAGCCTGCAAACAACAAAGGGCTCAGAGTCGATAGCCAATGTAGTCCACTCCCACCCTGAACCCATCTGTCCCTCCGGTCTCACCACCGTCTCGCTGTCCTCATCCATGTCCTGCATCACCCTCATACCTCTCTGGCACTCCCGACTTCCTCACGTAGTACCATTTATTAACAATTTACATATTTAATAAATAATTGACAGGACACTGAGTGGTCTCGGTTGCGATATGTCAATTATGATACACAATGGATTCAAGCTCCAAAGAATACCAATACTCTAATGGACGCCACAATTACATTTGCGTCCACTGTGAATTTTAATGTTTTAAAATGCTATTGTTATGTAGTTGTAGCCTCCAGTGTTATCATGTTGTTGTGGCAGGGGTGTGGTCTCTGGCTCTGCTGCAGTGGAGGGGTGGTACGGTAATCTCATAGGGTGGTGCCGGGAGGTTGGAGGGGACAGGTGAGAGGGATTGCAACTAATGAGCTCTCCCCCTTATTAGTGTCTGGAACCGGGAAGGAGTGGTGTGTGTAGTGTGGGAAGGCACTGGAAAGCTGGCTTCCCAGTTGAACACAAGGTGTTGAAGTAGTGGAAGACACTGTTTTTCAAAATAAAGGTGCTACGACTGACACTCAAACACTGTGTGGGTCCTGATCATTTCAGTTGTTTTAAATATTTCTCAAGAGGGAAAAAAATATAAATATAATGAAATACAATAATTTTGTATTTGTAGTCATTTGCAACTATTTTACAAATGATCTGTTTTTTTGTTTTTTTTTAACTGTTGCTCAATAAATGAAATTATTCACTGAAATTAAATATTTTTGCTCAATGTTTTTCAGCCAACTGTGGAAAACATTAAGTACTTATAGGCATTACTTATTATTACTTTTACAGTGCGCAAGGAAAGGAAACATCACATGAATTATAACTTGTTTTCATTCATTAGCTTTTGTGCAGTAATGGAAAGAGGTAAAAAAAAGTGTCCCCGTTGTACTACAAATGAGTCCAGATGCGCCTCCGCACAGCGAGAGCCCCCTGCTGTGATGGATGAGTAACCGCTCCGTGACTCACCCAGGAAGAGTGCTCCTTCATCTGATGCTTGTTGCTGTGCGAGCCGCTGGTGTTGCCACGCCAGAAGCAGTTCTGGCAGAGCTGGTAACCGCGGCAACGGAGGCAGCGATAGCGGAAGCCCGTCATGCCGTTGCTCCGACAGTAAGAGCACGAGACGGGATGATAGACTGAGAGAGGGGAACAAAAAAAGCATGAGAGATTGAGAAAGAGAGAGCACACTGTACAGTGGTTTTTATTTTCATATAATCAGTTATTACCACAATAAAATCCATTTTACATCCAAGACCTGACTTTACAAAGAGTGCACAATATCTAAAGGCACGATAAAAACATAAGGGATGACAAAGGGTTCTTTGCACAGTGGAGTGGAGTGGAACACGGTGTTTTTCTGTTCCCATGCACTGATGTGAATCACCAGCCAAATCTGTGGCTAATTAACTTTCTGGATACAGAACATTGATTGGCACTAACAAAATTACCCTTTTTTTTAAACAAAAATACTGTTTCCACTTGAGGCAGGTAGCAGCACTTTTTAGCACAATTCTATTTTTAATTTGTACAAACATCTGAGGAGAGATGAGGGTGAAACAGGGGACACATTTAGCATAATTCTATATTTTTGGCTATTTCCCCTCCAGTATTTAGCTATCTTAGTTTGTTCACACCGTCAGGCAAAAGGTGAAACACGATGTAAACACAATGACTCAAAAGGTTTGAATGAATTCTGATAAAACTGAGTCTAGAGTTGAGTGGAGTCGTGTTAGGAATCCATTAGATTTCGTCTTACAACCACCAAACAAAAAAACCCTTATAGCTTAGAAACTATGGTTCTTACAAATGTAGCGTTTATGGTCAACATATAGAAAGTAGCATATAAAGATTTGACCTCTTCTTCAAAGTCAATCGATTGATTTAAAGGTTAAAATGATAATAATGCTATACAGAACTATTTAAACCTTTTTGACAACATATATTGTACTTTAAGAGGCTCGTAGTGCAGTAAAAGTACAGTACATATAGGGAATGATATATGGAGATTCTAAATATTAGGTTACTTTGGACCTCTAACCTCAAATAAGGTCAAATTCCATAAAATGCATTTTTTAAATTATGCTTAAAAGTTGCCTACCTTTATTTATATTGGCACCATGTGTGAGATGATATACTGGTTTAAGGGGGACTCAAAATACCCCATTATCATTTGCATCTAAATATTATGTCACATATGACCTCTGACCTCACTTTTGCATTTCTGTAAAAGTCTTTCTTTCAAAATGACCTCAAAATATTGTGTAATCATTATGTTTTTAAAGGAAGTATTATAAAGAGAAAGAGAATAATGTGCCTAGTTAGTTAAAAATATGCAGCAGAATAATATTGTATAATAAGCTCAAGTTCTTCATTTCCAGTTACTTACAAATCAGTGCCTATTATCTATTACCTATTCCGACATATTATATATATATAATAAAAATAAACGTGTCATTCCACCATTATCTGACTTTTACTGCGCAACAAGCCTCTTAAAGTATGTTTAAAAACAGAAAATAAAATAAATATATGTAAAATGTAATACTGTTCTGATAAATGTAAATACTGCCTTGGTGGAGGGTTGCAAGTAAATTTCTGCTAATAAACCAGGTCTGCTGTTAGAAAGTTTGCATTATATCGACAGTGTCTGTACCATGCTCCACATTGGCCAGGCGGTGCATCAGAGGCAGCCAAATGAGACACTGAGGAGGGTCGGCCACGATGTCCAGGAACATGTTGAGCATCACTCTCTTCTACAAAATAAGAGCAAGACTGTTTATGAACACAGAACCAACACAGAGGCTGTTTCATCCTTCAACCAGTTAAAATGAGTAT